GAAAGGAACACAGACAATATACAGTCACAGTCACCTTACAGGCCATACAATGGCACTAAATTCATACCTTTCAATAGTTACCCTGAATGTAAATGGGCTCAATGCCCCAATCAAAAGACACAGGCTATCAGATTGGATTAAAAAACAAGACCCATCAATATGCTGTCTGCAAGAGACCCATTTTAGACCCAAAGACACCCCCAGATTGAAAGTGAGGGGGTGGAAAACCATTTACCATGCTAATGGACACCAAAAGAAAGCTGGGGTGGCAATCCTTATATCAGACAAATTAGATTTTTAAAACAAAGACTGTAATAAGAGATGAAGAAGGACACTATATCCTACTTAAAGGGTCTATCCAACAAGAAGATCTAACAATTGTAAATACCTATGCCCCTAACGTGGGAGCAGCCAATTATATAAGGCAGTTAATAACAAAAGCAAAGAAACACATTGACAACAATACAATAATAGTGGGGGACTTTAACATCCCCCTCACTGAAATGGACAGATCATCTAAGCAAAAGATCAACAAGGAAATAAAGACTTTAAATGAAACACTGGACCAAATGGACTTTACAGACATATTCAGAACATTCCATCCCAAAGCAACGGAATACACATTCTTCTCTAGTGCCCATGGAACATTCTCCAGAATTGATCACATCCCAGGTCACAAATCAGGTCTCAACCGGTACCAAAAGATTGGGATTATTCCCTGCATATTTTCAGACCACAGTGCTTTGAAACTAGAACTCAATCACAAGAGGAAAGTTGGAAAGAACTCAAATACATGGAGGCTAAAGAGCATCCTACTAAAGAATGAATGGGTCAACCAGGAAATTAAAGAAGAATTAAAAATATTCATGGAAACCAATGAAAATGAAAACACAATTGTTCAAAATCTTTGGGATACAGCAAAGGCAGTCCTGAGGGGAAAGTATAGAGCAATAAAAGCCTTTCTCAAGAAACAAGAAAGGTCTCAAATACACAACCTAACCCTACACCTAAAGGAGCTGGAGAAAGAACAGCAAATAAAGCCTAAACCCAGCAAGAGAAGAGAAATCATAAAGATCAGAGCAGAAATCAATGAAACAGAAACCAAAAGAACAGTAGAACAGATCAATGAAACAAGGACCTGGTTCTTTAAAAGAATTAACAAGATTGATAAACCCCTGGCCAGACTGATCAAAAAGAAAAGAGAAATGACCCAAATCAACAAAATCATGAATGAAAGAGGAGAGATCACAACCAACACCAAAGAAATACAAACAATTATAAGAACATATTATGAGCAACTCTATGCCAGCAAATTAGATAACCTGGAAGAAATGGGTGCATTCCTAGAGATGTATCAACTACCAAAATTGAACCAGGAAGAAATAGAAAACCTGAACAGACCTATAACCACTAAGGAAATTAAAACAGTCATCAAAAATCTCCCAACAAACAAAAGCCCAGGGCCAGATGGCTTCCCAGGGGAATTCTATCAGACATTTCAAGAAGAATTAATACCTGTTCTCCTGAAACTGTTCCAAAAAATAGAAATGGAAGGAAAACTTCCAAACTCATTTTATGAGGCCAGCATTACCTTGATCCCAAAACCAAAGACCCCATCAAAAAGGAGAATTACAGACCAATATCCTTGATGAACATGGATGCAAAAATTCTCACCAAAATACTAGCCAATAGGATCCAACAGTACATTAAAAGGATTATTCACCATGACCAAGTGGGATTTATCCCTGGGCTGCAAGGCTGGTTCAACATCCGCAAATCAATCAACATGATACAATACATTAACAAAAGAAAGAACAAGAATCATATGATCCTCTCAATAGATGCAGAAAAAGCATTTGACAAAGTACAGCATCCTTTCTTGATCAAAACTCTTCAGAGTATAGGGATGGAGGGTACATACCTCAATATCATAAAAGCCATCTATGAAAAACCCACAGCGAATATCATTCTCAATGGGGAAAAGCTGAGAGCTTTTCCCCTAAGGTCAGGAACGCGGCAGGGATGTCCACTATCACCACTGCTATTCAACATAGTATTAGAAGTCCTAGCCACAGCAATCAGACAACAAAAAGAAATCAAAGACATCCAAATCGGCAAAGAGGAAGTCAAACTCTCACTCTTTGCAGATGATATGATACTGTATGTGGAAAACCCAAAAGACTCCACCCCAAAACTGCTAGAACTCATACAAGAATTCAGTAAAGTAGCAGGATATAAAATCAATGCACAGAAATCAGTGGCATTCCTATACACCAACAATAAGACAGCAGAGAGACAAATCAAGGAGTCGATCCCATTTACAACTGCACCCAAAACCATAAGATACCTAGGAATAAATTTAACCAAAGAGGCAAAGGATCTGTACTCAGAAAACTATAAAATACTCAGGAAAGAAACTGGAGAAGACACAAAGAAATGGAAAAACGTTCCATGCTCATGGATTGGAAGAACAAACATTGTGAAGATGTCAGTGCTACCTAGAGCAATCTACACATTCAATGCAATCCCCATCAAAATACCATCCACCTTTTTCAAAGAAATGCAACAAATAATCCTAAAATTTGTATGGAACGAGAAGAGACCCCAAATAGCCAGAGGAATCTTGAAAAAGAAAAGCAAAGCTGGCGGCATCACAATTCCGGACTTCCAGCTCTATTACAAAGCTGTCATCATCAAGACAGTATGGTACTGGCACAAAAACAGACACATAGATCAATGGAACAGAATAGAGAGCCCAGAAATGGACCCTCAACTCTATGGTCAACTTATCTTTGACAAAGCAGGAAAGCATGTCCAATGGAAAAAAGACAGTCTCTTCAACAAATGGTGTTGGGAAAATTGGACAGCCACATGCAGAAGAATGAAACTGGACCATTTCCTTACACCACACACAAAAATAGACTCCAAATGGTTGAAAGACCTAAACGTGAGACAGGAGTCCATCAAAATCCTAAAGGAGAACACAGGCAGCAACCTCTTCCACCTCAGCCATAGCAACTTCTTCCTAGAAACATCGCCAAAGGCAAGGGAAGCCAGGGCAAAAATGAACTATTGAGATTTCATCAAGATAAAAAGCTTTTGCACAGCAAAAGAAACAGTCCAGAAAACCAAAAGACAACCGACAGAATGGGAGAAAATATTTGCAAATGACATATCAGATAAAGGGCTAGTATCCAAAATCTATAAAGAACTTATCAAACTCAACACCCAAAGAATAAATAATCCAATCAAGAAATGGGCAGAAGACATGAACAGACATTTTTCCAAAGAAGACATCCAAATGGCCAACAGACACATGAAAAAGTGCTCAACATTGGTCGGCATCAGGGATATCCAAATCAAAACCTCCATGAGATACCACCTCACACCCGTCAGAATGGCTAAAATTAACAAGTCAGGAAACGACAGATGTTGGAGGGGATGTGGAGAAAGGGGAACCCTCCTACACTGTTGGTGGGAATGCAAGCTGGTGCAGCCACTCTGGAAAACAGTATGGAGGTTCCTCAAACAGTTGAAAATAGAGCTACCATACGATCCAGCAATTGCACTACTGGGTATTTACCCCAAAGATACAAATGTAGAGATCCGAAGGGGTACGTGCACCCCAATGTTTATAGCAGCAATGTCCACAATAGCCAAACTGTGGAAAGAGCCAAGATGTCCATCGACAGATGAATGGATAAAGAAGAGGTGGTATATATACACAATGGAATATTATGCAGCCATCAAAAGGAATGAGATCTTGCCATTTGCAACGATGTGGATGGAACTGGAGGGTGTTATGCTGAGTGAAATAAGTCAATCAGAGAAAGACATGTATCATATGACCTCACTGATATGAGGAATTCTTAATCTCAAGAAACAAACTGAGGGTTGCTGGAGTGGTGGGGTGGGAGGGATGGGGTGGCTGGGTGATAGACATTGGGGAGGGTATGTGCTATGGTGAGCACTATGAATTGTACAAGACTGATGAATCACGGATCTGTACTTCTGAAACAAATATGAAATATATGTTAAGAAAAAAAAAGAAGATAGCAGGAGGGGAAGAATGAAGGAGAGTAAGTCGGAGGGGGAGATGAACCATGAGAGACGATGGACTCTGAAAAACAAACTGAGGGTTTAGAGGGGAGGGGGTGGGTTAGCCTGGTGATGGGTATTAAAGAGGGCACGTTCTGCGTGGAGCACTGGGTGTTATGCACAAACAATGAATCATGGAACACTACATCAAAAACTAATGATGTAATGTATGGTGATTAACATAACAATAAAAAATTATTTAAAAAAATAAATAAAATAAAATAATAGTTTTTTCTGAAAAACTGGGGGGGTGGGGGGGGTGGGGAGAGGTACTTGTTTTGAGAAGAGAACTGAGACCTGAGGGATTCCTGGTAGGTTGAAGTCTAGGAGACAAGGTTGGCACTTGTCCCAGTTCATAAATGCGGAAGAACAGGTTCTGACAGAGTAGGCAACTTGCCCCAAATCGCTCAAGTCAGTAAGGGGCACAGCCGGGATTTGGACCTATGATTCACCCTTAGCCGCTATCCTCCTTCCGCTAAACAACAAAACAAAGAAACCACCTAAGCAGGAGAGGGCGCCTTGCCAAGTAGCTGCCTCCTGGCACAAGTCCCCCTCGCCAACTGAGACCCCGTTTCCTCACCTGCAAAGTGGGGAAAATGGGACCTCTCTTTCCTGGGGCACCGGGCTGTGGCGAGGACCAGGTGAGTCCCGGATACAGACAACGGTCAGCTGTAAGGTACTGTTTGCTGGGGCTCCAGTCTCTGTGCACTGGTCTCTGAACAAGGGAAGACCCTCCGCGCAGTTGGCCTGCGATAATCTTCAAGGCAGAGGTCATAATCTTCCCACGAACCTGGACCAACAGCCAAGTTAATCAGTTCAACCTCAGACCCACTTCCTCATGTTTACCTTTCTCTGGGAACCACCAGACCCAGCCCGGTTCCCAGTCCGCCCAGTTCCCTGTTCTCTGCCAAGCCGGGGCCGTTCCCTGCCCCAAAGCCAGCCCCCCTCTCTCCAGGCTGACCCTGACTGAAAGCCCAGTGCAGGATATTGAACCCGTATCCTGTTCCAACCCTTTGGGACTAGAAACTGCCTTGTTTTGGGCAGTCCCCACCTCAGTGCCAGGACTGGAATCTGGGGAGTCAGGAGGCAGCAAGCCGCTGGTGCTGCCCAGCTAAGACTTCGAGAAGCACCCGAGCCTCAGAGCAGTGAGTCACTGGCCCCTGCCCACCGCCCGCCTTGTGGCCTCAGGCTCACAGCCTGCTAGGACCACACCCTTGCCTTAGCATCACAAACCTACAGGCTGCTGTGTACCACTACGCATCCTTCCAGCAGCCTCAGTGGGGCCCCCACCCTTTACCCAGCACCCCTATCCACAGTGCCTGCCCCCTCCATAGCCGCCTTTTCCTGCACCCTTCACCCCCAAATGTACATGTCTCCCAAGATTTCACCCGAGATAAATTTTCTTCTGTGGATTGACTGTCCTTTGACAAGCTTATCTACTCCTAGGGTTTCAGCTAGCACCCCCAAAGTGGCAGAGGCCCAAGGACATAAAGGTCGTTTTCAAATTAGATTGACCAGGGCCCAAGGCTGGTCAAGGAAGGAGGAAGAAGAAACGGGTGAGAGTCGAGAGGGAAGCTAAGTCCCCAGAAGGATGGCCCCTCACCACAACCGTGGAGGGAAAAAGCCAGGCCCCAGTGGGCTCTGAATCCTCCAGGCCTGGCACAGAGCCAGGCACAGATGGGTGCAGAGTCTCTGCTGGATGGATGAATGAATGAACAAGTTGGTTCTTCCCTCTCCGGATCCGAGTGCGTTTTCCGGAGCCACCCTCCCTCCTGATACACGAAGCCCGGAGAGGAAGTGACTAGGCAGCCAAGTCCAGAGAGGAAACACGAGTCCCTGTGAGATCTGTCCAGGAACAGGAGACTAAGAGAGGACAGAACAGGCACCAGTATTCCGAAGCAGCACCCCAACTCCTGTTGTCTCCCTACAAAAGCTTGGGTACCACAGGCTTAGCCAAGCCCTTGACTATTTTCATCTCGTTTAATCCTCCCAAAGACCTTTGGAGGTAGGTACTATTATTTTCTCCACTTTACAGATGAGAATATAGAGGCAGGAGGTCAGGAAACCTGACCAGGATCCCACAGTTTATCAAAGTAACGGAGCTGGATTTTTTTTTTTCTTTTTCCTGCAGTGGTGCTGTTTCATCTTTAAAATGCCAGCAATTTGCCCACATGCTCAGCTCTGCTACAATGTGTTATTTTCAGATCTAGCAATGAACTACAGAATGGTAGAAGTGGAAGAGCCTTTGAGATGAATTAGTCCGGGCCAGAGTTGGGGAGACAGGGGGAGGGAGGCTGAGCATACAGGCTGCAAAGCCTCCCCTCCCTCTTCTTCCTTCTGCTCCTAAAATAAAACCGAACAAAAGACTGGAAAGTTACTGGATCAGAGAATTCAGCATCTCCCTCCTAACTCCCTGGGATTTTATTATTCAAGATAGCAAGCAGGACCTACATCCTGGAGCAAGAAGAAGCTCAGATCTCCCTGCCGGTGGGTGTGATTTTGAACGTGCGAAAAGGCAGGAGCCTCTGGGCCCCTCCCTCCAGCGGAGACTTGTCCTCCTCAAGCCCCGTCTGGGATGCTGCGAGGCTGCAAAGGGCAAATGCAGGGCCTGAGGCCTTCCCACAGTCGGCTCCTCAAGAAGACAGCCCTGTCCTTCAGCAAGCCCTCACCTCCCCTCTGCATCCCTAATTGGCATCTTCTGGTGACTTCATTTTTCACTCTTGGCTAAAATGGGCCTCTGATGATTTATTCTATCCCGGGTGTTGACAAGCTCAAGAAGTTGTGTGGGGCCCACTGCCAGGCACTCATGGTGACAAAGCATGACTCACCGCTCCCAGGTCAGTTGGGGGGGGTGGCTGTAGGAGGCAGGGGAAGCAGCTGACAAGGCTCACCACTGCATCACTGGGCCTTCTGCCCTCTTGTGAGGCAGCTCCGCTCTTGGATGGGAAATAGACACCCCAGAACCCTGTGACGGAGACAGGACAGGCAGCCCACAGGTCTGTCACATCTCAAGGCTGCTTCTCTGTTTTGTCTCCCACCCCCAGTGCCAAATGCTAAACTGTCTTTCAGAGAGAGCTCTAAAAGGGAAATATAAGCCAGCCCTCCTTGAATCCCCTCAATCATAGAACGTTAGCAGTGGGGAGGGGGGAGCCAAAGAAAGCCTTAGAGATCATTAAACTCAATCTTTTTATTCTTGGAGAAAGAATTTGAGGTCCAGAGAGGTCCAGTCATTTGACCAAGGTCCCAAAGTGAGTTAGAGGTGGAGCTGGGACTAGAACCTGGGTGTTTGTTCCAGACTTGTGCTCTCTTGCCAACCAAGATATGACTAGAATTTCACTAGCGCTCCTGAGGGAGAGGAGGCCGACTCTCCCCCAGAAAAGGGGGCAAGAAGTACTAATGCCTAAGGCGAGATTAGTTGCCTGGACTTCGGGTTTGCCCTTTGTTCTTCTCAGATGGGGCTCTGTGCTTTCCCGGCTTATGGGGAACCCCAGAGTCCAGGGGGCTCAAGGCTGAGCATTCCCTCTCCCAGGAGCGATACTTCACTCACAGGAACGTGCCAATGGCAGATGACCTGCAGACTCTTTCCTGGCTTAGCCAAGAGCAAGTTGCCCTTAGAAGAGCCTGTTGCATCTGGCTGCTAAATGACCTTATTTCTCTTTTTCTCTTTCCTGACCTTCTGGGTAAACAGTGTGTTAGCTCAGGGGAGACTTAAATTCATGAACCCAGTAAACGAAAAGAGGCCACAAATTTCCTCTGGTCTGTACATGCTCCATGGGACCCCCTCCACGACACCCCAGATGGACACTACCTTCAGCTTGAACACTTCCCAGAATGAGCCACTGTTTCTCCCTCACTCCCGGCCCCTCTGCTGCTGGACAGACCAAAGCGATAGAGACGGCTATCTAGTCCTGACTGGAGTCAGACACCCTGTGATGCCCCCTACACTGAAACACAGCGAGTGACTACCCTTCTCTGGACTATGGCCCGTGTCTTTGCTCATGACTTATAGGGACAAGCCCAGACAGACATAACTGTTTTTGATCCTACAAAGATTGAGTGTCTGTTTGGGGGTCTAGTCCAATAGGGCTCTTGCTCAATTTTCTTTTCCCATCTGATTTCCATGAATTTAAAAGGGAAGAAAGAAAGAAAGAAAGAAAGAAAGAAAGAAAGAAAGAAAGAAAGAAAGAAAGAAAGAAAGAAAGAAAGAGAGAGAGAGAGAGAGAGAGAGAGAGAGAGAGAGAAAGAAAGAAAGAAAGAAAGAAAGAAAGAAAGAAAGAAAGAAAGAAAGAAAGAAAGAAAGAAAAGCTTGCCCACCTTCCCTAGAGAAAGAGTAAGAAAAAAAGATAAGTGCCAGACCTGTTCATTTGCTTCTTGCTAGAGATTCTGGTGAAAGTTCTGACCGAGGAGGCGGTTGGACCCACCCAAGGCGAGGTGCAGGGCATCTGTGCTCAGCAATTAACCTCTTTCTTCCCCTTCCCCTTGCGGTTGAAGATGACCAGCATATTCATGAAAAGTAGTATTGTTGTTCTAAATTCCTTATTTGACATTTCATTCATTTTGGAAGCCACGTGCGAGTTTCACCCAGTCAAAAAAAAAAAAAAAATCAATTACTATATGCCAGGCAGGATTCCTGGGGATATACTGTGAGTGAAACAAAGCTCCTGACCCCGTGAAGCTTCCTATTCTAGAAGACAAGGCAGGAAGAAAGTAATAGTTAGACATTATAACATAATAAACATTATAACCGGAGCTGCCGGGCACTACAAAGGAAGACAAAGCAACATGAGGGGCGAGAGGTGAGCTGTCATTTGGGGTTAGGAGGGTGAGGGCAGGCCTGGGAGGGGACGTTGGAGCAGACGCTAGAGTAGAGTAAGGGACCCCTCCCGGGGGAAATCTGGGGCAAGTGTTCTAAGATGAAAGAACTGTAAGAACCACAAGAAACCCCTGATCAGTGTGCACCTGGGATCTACTAGAATGCGTTTCAACTAACGATTCATAGATGAAAATAATGGTCAAGGCACATTTTGCCAATAGCTGAAAAATTCAACATGACATTACCTGCACTTAGAAGCCATTAGCATTCATAAGCCGATTTCCGGGAAGGGGGGACCATCAGCATATGAATGAGGTGATCAAGCACTCTTCTCTCTGTGGAAAGTTCCCTCATATACCATCTTTTTTAATAATCACCACAAGCCCACAAGGTAGATCTTACAGTTCACAACAGTGTCCGGGACAGGAAAACTAGTTAGTAGTGACTCTGGTCCTGACATAGGCCACTGGTATGCAGAAGTGCCCCATTTCTAAAGGAAGTTGTAACATGTAACATAGAGAAAAGTCCAAGAACATCGGGGCTTGTAAATTTAACTTCAAATCAGCACCATAACTGGTATCGGAGACCAGTATCTCTGTGGTAGTGTGACACGTACCTCTCACCTCTCCTTCCAGAGGACCTGCCAGGGGGAGCAGATTCCTGACTGCCCCAGTGAGTGCCCTGTGGACGTGGGGGTGTCAGGGCCACCCCTCCTCCAGGCTGCTCCCAGGCAACCTTTGAGCTCTGGGACTGCTGCCCGCCTGCCTGAGACCCTGTCAGGAACGTACCGCCAACTGAGAATCTACCTAATTCTTCCTTCCCTCTTCCCTCTCACGCTGCCAGACCGGCATTATGAGCTGAAGGCCCTCCCTGCCATCTCCCGAGAACCCCCTTTCCTCCTTCACAGACATTTCTCCCAGCAAACCTACTGCGTGTCCAGGCTCATCACTTGGCATCTGCGTCCCAGAGGATCCACACTAACATTTCTAATCTCAATAGCTCTGTTTTACTTCTTCACAGAAGGACGACATTATGAGTTCATTTCTATCTTTGTTTTTCCTGGACGTGAAAATACAGAAGAGAAAAGAAAAAAAATATTTTGTCGGTTAACAGTGTCAGACTTTGGGCCTCATTAGTGGTCCATTTTAACAAAAATGTAAAGGGAAATTCTGGAATTTTACTAGTGTTACCTGGGGTGAGGTTTTGGCCTGAGTTCTGCCAACAGGCTTTTATCTTAGCAGCTTCCTATCTGCTTTCACAGGTCCCGTCGAAGATGAGCACCTCATGCTTTGTGTCCAGGCTGTGAACTCCAGCTTAGAGCTAATCAGAGCTGACAATGCCTATTGCAGAGTATCGAAGTGGTTACAGGAGGTTGCTGGGGGTGCTCTGAACCAGCACTGTCCAAGAGAAATAGAATGTGAGGCACCTACATAATTCCAAATTTTCTAGGAGCCACATTTAAAAAGGAAAAAGAAACAAGTAAAATGAATTTTAATAATATGTTTTGTTTAACCCAAAGGCATCTAAATTATTATCATAACATGTAATCCTATTTAAACATTATTGATGAGATAATTTAAATTTTTGTCACTTTTTTTTTTTTTAAGTCGGCTCCACACCTAGGAGCCCAACACAGGGCTTGAACTCACGACCCCGAGATCAAGACCTGAGCTGAGATCAAGAATTGGAGGCTTAACTGACAGAGTCGCCCAGGTGCCCCTCACACTAAATCTTTAGATGAGGCACATTGCAAGTGCTCACTAGACATACATGACTGGCGGCTCCCATGCTGGACAGTGCAGATCTAGGCACTTTCGAGTCTGCGGAATAATATTTGAATATGGAGCAGCCGACCAGCTGTTTTTCTTAGTGTTCCTCTAAACCAGTTATGGGTCGCCACCCCACTGAGGAATTTCAAAACCATCACCCAAGGGGATTTTTATTCAGAACTTTTGTTTGTTTGCTAGGAAATAGAAAGTATTCATTTTGAAATAAAATATAAAATAAGAGGGATTGCGTTCTTAGGTATCTATAAGATACCAGCTTCCACAATTATTTTAGATGAATCTTTATAGCTGGAGAATCCAGGGTACAAACATAAGAAAGAGGTTATTTCCTTCTCCCAAACAGGTCTGAGTCTAGCAGCCCTCACAGTTCCCATTACGGGACTGATTTCTTTGGCCCCATCCCCAGAGTAGTCCCCTCCCGCCAGCCCCCCGGCAACGTACACCCCCAGCGGAGAGCATCAATCATGTCTTTTCCTACTACAAGAAAACACGATACCCCCAATTTTTAAAAACCGGAATCATACATTTAAAAGCTATGCCACACGAGGCAAGTATTTACCTAGGCACTCACTCATTTTTCAACTTTATATTTTTCTCTCCATTTTACAGTTTCAGAAAGCTAAGTAACTTGCCCAATACCACATCGCTAATCATTCTACAAACCTTTAAAAGTTGGCATTGGGAGCTGACGGCGTTGTAAATTGGTTCAGTTTTTTCTGAGATTAACTTGGCAACGTTTAACAAGTTATAAAATGGTCCATGCCCTTTTATACAATGATACTGGGATTAGTTCTAAGGCAATAAATAAGATATGTATGGACACACTCACACATTAGCTTGTGCAAAGATATTTATGACATAAAACCTATGATAGCTGAAAAAATTTTAAATACCTTAAATTTTTCCTTCATTTAGCAAACATTTATTGAATACCTTCCATGTGTCAAGCACAGGTCTAATACCAAGGATTCAGCAGTGGAGAAAAAAACAA